TAATTCGAAAGTTATTCGAGAAAAACTCTCCATATTTAGCGCCGCCATTTTGACTTTTTCGACCCCTGTGACGTCATCTTTGACCTGACCCGAAAATGACCTTAGTAAAAATTGTAGACCTTGTCCGTGCGTATCCGATGCCGTTTACCGCTTGTCGCTATCTTGCTTCGTTCTCGATATCTCAGGGGGGGCGGTCATCCGCCCCCCCCGTCGGTACGAAGTTGGCGCAGACCCCCGTCGGTGCGTGGGTTAAAGGGACCCTCCCACCTTAACATTAGATTTGAGTTGAGATAGCCAAAATGGGGTCCCTGGCTCACAATTACCGGTTTCGGCACTCACAACATCGAGAAATGCCTTAAATCGGAAATATTGAATTTCAAAATTGCAGCATTTTGATTCAGAGGGGCTAATGCTTAGGAATACCCCTCTGAATGTGTGACGTCAGCGCAAATATCTAACGATTTTTAAATGTTTGACTAAAACGTTTTGTAGCACGCGGTGGTATATGCTATTTGCGCGCAACATCTGCCGCAAACGCCGCACTTCTAAAATAAAGTCGCTAGAAACAGCGGAGATACCAAAAAAGTAAACAAAAGTAAAAGTCTAATATCTTGAAAACCGGTGAATATTTTTCGGTGAAATTTGGTAGATATTCGTTTTCGCTCTTTCTGAACCGAGCGACATCACTTTCATGCCAATTCATAAACTTTTTTGAAGGTGGGAGGGTCCCTTTAAACACAGCACCGTAAGCCATTGTATTCTAGGTTGACATTTACAGAACAGTAGCATGATAGCGAAGGGCTGTTTCCAAAGGTGATTTAAAGCTATACCACGCCGTTCAACTTTACTAAAGTTCCCGGGCACACCGGCACGGGGAGCATTCATTCTGGCCAGGGTTCATAATGTCCAGGGTACGATATGCCCAGTGTCGAAATGGCCAGTGCCTTGAATGGGCCAGAGTTTATAATGTCCAGGGGTTGCATGGTCCAAATGCGGCCAACTGGCTGCAGATAGGGTATATTCAAAGAGTCCAGGGTTCATAATGTCCAGGGCACGATGTGCCCAGTGTTCGAAATGGCCAGGGTTCATAATGTCCAGGGCACGATGTGTCCAGTGTTCGAAATGGCCAGGGTTCATAATGTCCAGGGCACGATGTGTCCAGTGTTCAAAATGGCCAGTGCCTTGAATGGGCCAGAGTTCATAATGTCCAGGGATTACATAGTCACTGAAAGTGACGTCATTATGTAAAAAACACGGAACCAGCTCAATGCGAAGCAGTGCAGTGCCGAAGGCAATGCCTTAGGAGAGATTACAGGCAATAGTAAATCAAATATTTTTAGGTAAAGTGGTTATGTATCTGGCTTCAGGCCGAAGGCCTGAAGCCTGATGCATAACCACTTAACCTAAAAATATTTGATTTACTATTGCTTGCAATCTATTCATGCGAGAAACTATTTCCTTATCCCTGGTAGGCAAACATCATTACCTTAGGTTAGGTTAGGTTATAGGTTAGGTTAGGTTAGGTTAGGTTAGGTTAGGTTAGGTTAGGTTTGGTTGGGTTGGGTTGACTATGTAATCCCTGGACATTATGAACTCGGGCCCATTCAAGGCACTGGCCATTTTAAACACTGGACACATCGTGCCCTGGACATTATGAACACTGGCCATTTCGAACACTGGACACATCGTGCCCTGGACATTATGAACCCTGGCCATTTCGAACACTGGACACATCGTGCCCTGGACATTATGAACCCTGGCCTCTTTGAATTTACCCTATCTGCAGCCGGTTGGCCACATTTGGACCATGTAATCCCTGGACAATGTGAACACTGGCCAATTCAGGGCACTGGCCATTTCGAGCACTGGACACATTGTGCCCTGGACATTTTGAACCCTGGCCTAAATAATACGCACTCCACTGGCACAATACCATAACGTATTGTGTCAATGGTTAGTTGTTATCATGCAATGCTACATCATCATGTGCTATTGTTATTTATCACTTTTAATAACATCGTATTACCTGTGTTGTTTTAACCTCATTTGTAAAGTGTCATGGAAAATCTCGGCTTATTTTTCCATAGTGTTTTAATTTAGTTCTCCATAAATATTGCTTTGTCGATGCTCATTCATTTGACCGAAGCTACATGCCGGACTTAAAAGCGTAAAATAATTAATGACTAAATCTTATTCGGGTCAGATGTGAAGAGTCGATTGGTCTTAGCCCGCGCCCCCTGAGGATTTCTGCGCCCTGCTGAAGGTATTCGAACCCCTTCTTCTAATTCGCCTCCTGGGCCACGTAGCGACAGGCGGTAGGCGGCGTTCCAAAGAGCGAAAAAAGTAAAAACTGACGAGAGTACCCACTTATGTCATTTTTAGTTGAAGTCAAAGGTCAGGTCAGCGGAGGTCATCAAACGTCAACAATTTCGCCTATTTCGACAATTTTCGATAAACCGGCGCGTAACTGTGGATCGTTTTGAGCTACAGCGCCGCGGAAAAGTGCATTGGATAGCTCTTTAACGGTCTGTCCTCAATTAAATGGTCTAAAATTTTACATAAGGCCAAGGTCATGACCTGACCGGAAAAGTTGTGCTGCATATCAGTCGATCCGCATTCGCTTGAGTTTATAAAGTGTATTCTACAAACATTAGTAATCTCTCTAAGATTATAGTACACCTTTTTGAACTCAAAATAGGCATCTTTTCATTCAATTTCGGCGAATTGCATTCAATTTTAGCGATCTCTCTATTCGAAGCAAATGAGAGATCGCTAAAATTGAATGCAATTCGCCGAAATTGAATGAAAAGATGCCTATTTTGAGTGCAAAAAGGTGTAATGTCTTCTTCAGAAAGAAACATTTATGCATGTGCGGCCTTCAGCTGCCAATCAGCCTGCGTCACTCTCCGGTCCCTGGAGCTCCTCCTGATCAGAGTGCAGACACATATCGACTCGTCCAGTCACTCATCCCTCTGCCGAGCTCCCGCGGCGTCCAACGCTCCCACCCCAGCAGCGGATTCCCTCTTACACCCGCAAACGGACGCTAATGGTGGGAACCGGCGCTAGTGAAACTGCATGACGACTCAGCTTTCCATGAAACATGACCGTCAACGCGAAATACTTGGCACGCTATAAAACCAAGGATAATTTGCCGCCGTCCAGTGTAGGTAGGTACATGTGAACTATATGAATGCATCAAATGCAAAGCCTATTGGATCCTACAGCAAGGTAGTTCACACTGACAAGTCACATAACTCAACTGTTTCTGCATGGTCACGTTGTGGCTCCAAACCTGAACAACTCATAACTAAAGGCTAGTTCACCAGTAAAACGCCTTTTGGGCGAAGAACGAGCGAGCGAGATAGTGAGTCCTGCACGTGCGGAAGGGCGAGAGGGTGCTTCCAACGGGCTTGCGCAAAGCACCCTTCTAACCGGTCGCTAGCAGTGTGCCAAATTTGAACGCAATCGGCCCAGCCGTTCCTGAGATCTGGAAGCGGCATTCTGCACGTGCGCACGTTCAAACGGGGTCCAAAATGACTTTTGCACGGCACCCTACTAACTGGTCCCCAACCGTGTACCAAATTTGAGCGCAATCGGCCCAGCCGTTCTCGAGATCTGGAAACGCCCCCTGCACGTGCGCACGTGCAGTAGCACCCTAACCGCAACACATGGGAATGCATTGCCTGGTGGGTGCCTACCTGCATGCCAAGTTTCAGCGAAATCGCCCCAGTAATTACCGAGCTACTGAAATGGGAACAAATTTGGCACCTCTTATTGTTGTATTTTGCACGTGCACTGGGGGTGACCCACATGCATCGAGAGTATCCTATTTTGGGAAGAAGGGATGCTGCTACCCTACAAAAATTACCGCAAGTCAATCGCCCAGGCGGCTGCTGAGATATGAGCCTCTCAAAATCACTACTTTTCCAAACAGCTTGAACACCCTTGACTTTTCACGTGGCACGTGCCACGACGGCCACTGAGATGTATCAAAAGTAGTCAATTACGGGGTAGAAGGGATGGGGCTACCCAGCAAAAAAGACCGCAGGCCAATCGGTCCAGCGGTTGCTGAGATATAAGCCTCTCAAAAGCGTTACAGGCCGGGCCGGGCCGCTCATACTGACATTTTTCCGTTATATTGAAAAGACTCACTTCGCTCGCTGAGCTCGTTCGCTCGTAATAACTAAGGCCGTAATCGCCACGCCATATGTGGAAGGCTTTTGGTGTCAATACATAAGCCTTCTGAGCCGTCATGACGTCGCCAATTCTAGAATAGGTATATTTATTCTTACAAAATTGAAGCTGTTGTTAGCTTATAATGTAATAGCAGATGCGAGGTTACTCCGTTGTTGGAAGCAGAGCCATGATCCGTATGTATCATCGATTCGTCATAAACAGTAGCATTTCGATCCGTCCGCCGCGATTCTCACTCTGGGCCTCGTGTGACCAGGGGCCGTATTCACGTCGATCATTTTCGTAAGAATTTTCTGAAGTTTGACCTACTTCTTAAGTAATTTTCTTTATTCACGTGAACTCCGTCGATAAAAACTTAAGAAGTGTCGACGTGAATACCAAATTATACTTACGAAAGAAAATCGACTTACGATGTCGACGTGAATACGGCCCCAGCGGCTACCGGTGGTGTGTGCGTGATGACGCAATCTGGTGGACGCCGGACGGTTCTTCCAGCTCGCAATCGCGTGGTCTTTAGTCACAGGCACTTACCGTCCAGTGCGTCCCACACTGGAATTAGTTTGATACCTACCCGTGTGCGACAGTGTGCCAGGCAAAAATTATACGGACATTTCGTTGAACTGATAGGGGAAATTACAAACAAATAAAACAGAACAACGCTGGTTTTAGACAAGAGTTGCACAACACTCAGCTATTCATTCCTACGTACCTACTGTTTGTTTCTTTGTACAGCTGACGTTACACCGTTACACAACGATATAACTCATCTCCCCCTTTGCCGGCAGGTATTCTGTCCCACCTGTTGGGACGGTGGTATTCTGGTCAGTCCCCGACCATCCATCAGTCGTTACCGCTGGTGGAGAGCAGTGAGGAGAGCCGGCCAGAGGAGTTACCGGCGGACCCCGCAGCTGGCAACAGCCACACCTACCTTCTACCGGAATGGCCGACCCACAGGTGGGTCGAGTCGGCGGGGAAACGGGACCGATGTTGCATGTCAGACATTGCTATGTTTATGCACATTCGATGACAACACATTATAATGTTTTGAATATTTGCTTTTGTGTTGTCATCGGATGTGAATAAAAATAAAAAACGGGATTAAGTTTACGGGATAAAAGAGCCGAGTATGTGGGGAAACAGGGCTGGATCTATATGGAAGTCAGTGCCGAGTCAGTGGCGAAACAGGGGCCGAGTCTGTGGGGGAACACGGGCCGAGTCAACAGGAAACCCTGACTGAGTCTGTGGGGAGGTATGGCAGATTCTATGAGAAATTCGGGCCTGTGGGAAAGTTGGCCGAGTATGTAAGGTGGCGAAGCCAAATCAGCCAATGAATTAAGTCATTTGGACTCCATCATCAGCCATGATCATGATCAGCGTTGAACAGGTTTACGCGTTGAGTAGCTGCTTGCTGCATGTGTCGGAACCGTGACATTGCTGACACACTTTCGACAGATTTTATAATTAACTGCAGCCTCAGCTCTGCCATGAGGCCGTTTCTAATTTCAAATGTCTCACATAAAAAACGCACTCCACTCAGGCGAGTCATGTGATGAGCAGCAACTCTCAAAACGCAGCCGACTTTCCCGCCCTTGGACTGCGCTCTCGGCACGGTTGATATCCTGGGAACACGGTGCATCCTCCTCTGTGGCCTGTGGCGGTAGCTGGCTGCCGGTCCGTCGGACGGTCTGCCGACTGTACGGCAGGCACCCCGGGGGCCGGCCCACCCCGCCGGGCGCCGGGCGCAGGACCACGCGCTGCGCTCCCACGCCACACGCCGTGAAATGACCGGCTGCGGTAAAACGGCCAGATGATCCGGAGACGCGGAGACTCTCGGAGATTTCACGAGCCCGGGGAAATTGGGGACACGAACACCAACACGGGAACACGGCGGCCGGGTTCCTGAGAGGGCTGTGGCGGTAGGATTCGAGTATAAGCAATTGATGGTATTTGGTCTCCATACCATCAAACATAACCACACTAAACTATGGTCATCAATAAATAAGGCGACGCCTGTTCTATTTTGTACGGCATATTACAGAATGGACTATCAAACAGAGTTACATAACAATAACAAACAGCCAACAGAAGGCCGTATATTGTAACTACATATTGGTCTTGGTCAGTGGAGCCATGGGAAACGAAAACAAGATGACAATGGTACCAAGCTTACTGGACGCCCACAGGCAACAAGTAGTTACAGAATCTTACCGGTAATGACATACATACAGTACGCTGTATATCAACTGGAATGAAACTCTGGGACCTGCCACATTCATTAGACGCAAATAACATGAGAAAAGATGAGTAACTCAGGTGGTTACAAAGCAGTGACGAAAAATGAATCTCTAATTCGTGCAGACAACTAAAAATGTTACATTCTGTACTGCTTTCTCACATTGCACTACGCGGGGCACGCACATGGTGATAGAACTATCTCCGCAGTTCACACCACGGTAGGTATACCTACCTTTTGCATCTACTGCACTAAATGTCATGGTAACATGCACCCAGTCATGGTTCTCAGTAAGAAAAGCGACAATATGTAATTCTGTTTCACTCTTTGCTCGGGCCAGAGTTTCTCAGTTTACAGCCAATGCCATCTTAGCCGCATTCATCTTCATTTATAGATATTGTGCTGTGACAAATGGCTTTAAGCTCCGTGGCTTATTCGCTTTCGTCTAATAATTTAACATGAAAACGAGAGTCGAGATCCTGTGCGAGACTATCCCGGGTTGGCCTGTCTACCGCCCAGTGCGGGCGGCGGCCATCGCTAGTGACGCTGGCCGATTCTCCTGTAAAAGGAGGCGGTGACAACTCTCCTCTAAAGAGGAGGCGGTGACGACTCTCCTCTAAAGAGGAGGCGGTGACGTGTGTCACAGCGTCTGTGGCTCTCCGGTCCCGTGCGGAGATGAATGGTGCGGCCGGCACGCGCCACGCACCGCTGAGGCACCTAACAGTCGTCGGCGGTCGGTCACTTTCGCCGTCAACAGAGGAACATTAGTCGGCGGTGGCCGCGACAGATGCCGGGAAACCTGCGCAGCCCTTCGGCGAGCAGTCATCACACCAGCTGCCGGGGCCCTGCCGGGTCGCTGCGCGCGACCTGTCGGTTTCGACGGCTGACGGCCGCTGCCGCACGGCTCTGTTACAGCCGGTGGGGTGCCGCGAGTTTCTACAGTCGCCGCTGGGAGGGACAGGCGGCCGCCGCGGGCTCTGAAACCGTGGCGTCATGAGTGCGCCCCGCGGGGACAGTCTATTTTAGCCCGTGAGACGGGAAGGGGAAGATCCTGATCCACACGAAGCAGTTCGACGGGAAATGTCTGATGAAGACCTGTCAGACCCGGTAGGACATATTCGTCACATGACAAAGAAACGGATGGTTCGGCACTGCCACCGTTTAATGGGAATTCGATGGCCGTCCGTCGCATCACATAAACGTGTTCTATCCATTGCAAAGGAGACGGTGATAGCAGACTAAGGTCACCGGTTATATGTGGATAGCGGGGAGGACAGAACAAATTCCCCCGTCTCCACCGACACTGTCCATAACCACGAATGACTGGTCTCTTACCGAGTCAGGGCCACAGAAGCTGAGTATCTCGACGATCGATCACTCCGGCAACTCTGTTAGCACCGCTCGCGCCGGTATGTCGTGTTCACGTGCGACCCGTATTGCACTAGCACGGCCGGCTCACACGGCTAATGAGACACTCTATCGTGACGCAGACTGCCGTGTAACCTGCCCATTAGCGACGGTCGCAGCCCGAGCCTACCGCCCAAAATTCGTTATCTCGTAACGCAGCGGCCGGCGCTCACAGAGCGGGCGTAAACGTAGGTATTTCTGGGCTGTCTGTCTCGTGCAGCTATTGAGAAATTCGGATACACACCGGTAGGTACCGAGACTCGGAGGCAATTCATCATCATTGCCACCACCGATTTACCACAGACATTGCCCGCCCCCTAATTCCAGGCCATCAGTTTGGCCGGTTATGACACCAGCACATAGTTCGAGGACCATATCTGACCACGAAAAATGTGTGTGTCGCATTAACGAGACCATGCCATAGCTTTGTTGCGGTTTTAATCAGCCAGTGGTTGGTATCCGATGGAGGATGTAAATGAAATCAAATTAAAGACTTCAATCAGTGAGCACACATGAAAGTGCCTTTGTACGCTAATGTGAACACCAATTGAGGAATCCATAGCATCGACACTCTATCTACAAGCTATGAGTATGACAATTGACAAACTAAAATATCAATGGAATACTAGAGCTGGCGTCATCTGGTCACTGCATGCTGCTGCGTGATGACCCGGCTGGCCTACCGAGTCTTCCCAGTAGAGATGGCAAAATATGAAAATTTTGGGAACCAGACTCGAACCAGACCCGGCTGGACATTTCTGGAACCAGTCAGACCCGGTCTTAGTTGGAATCGGAACCAATTGGACCCGTTCCCGAAAAGGTCAAAAGTCAATTAATACAAACTACCTGTAGGTATCATAGTTGCATCACGTAAAACAGTCTATTTCCCACTGGGAATACTCATGAGCTACTGTGTACAAAGAAACATTCACTTCATATTTTGCAATAATGTGTAGTGTGTAAGATGTATAGTTTATGGTAGGACCCGGTTGGACCCGTCAGAAAATTTCCAGGAACCAGTCTGGATCCATATGGGTCCAGACTGGTTCTTTGGACCGGGTCCTCGGGTCCACATTTTGCCACCTCTACTTCCCAGTCACGGATGTCGGTTTTCGTTTGGTGCAGGCCGACTAGAGGCAGACGGGGTCAACTCATGGTTCAACTCACGGCAGATGTTGGCCCGTGCCCAGAGCAACCAGCGAATGCCTCCTGTCTGCAATAACAGGCAGGTCATGTTCGAAACTCTCCTCTCGTCTCTTCATAGACGCCTGTACAGCCGGAAGTTCCGGGGGCTCTGCCCTCTCCGTGACTGGACTGGGCCACATTCAGAGCCGACGGGCTGTGAACAGGTGCGATTTATAGTCTCGCTGGGACCTGAGTTGGTCGCCGGAGGGACTCTGACGGACCCTCAGAGAGGCGGCCCGCCGGAGGGACGTTGCACGAGAAAGTGACTCCCTGACTGTGAGGTTTTATGTGGGCCGCCCCCGAGCGCCGCCCCGCTGCCAGAGTCCGGAGTAGGATGAATGATGGCCGGAGAGTTGCATCGCCAGATGTCCGTTTTCGCCGTCTCCGGTACCATCTGGTGCCGTACGGCTACTCATGTCAGCGGATCATAGAACGATGCTGGGTCTGAGCCGGACAGACAATTAGCGGCGGTTTCCACTTTCATCTCCGTCCCAAAGGACGACAGATCTGAAAATCTCCTGGCGCGGGTGTGTTGATTGTCAGTCACGGATGTCAGAAAATTGCGCTGATCATGTTGGAGGCGGATGAACGGGTTCTGTTTTCAGATGGTGCACCTGTGTTCGGAAAAGTGGCTCGCCAAAGAATGTTAATTAACCCTATCCGGCACAGATGGCCCGGCGGCCGACATCTGCGGTGTACGAGTAGTTAAAGTACCTGGCAGACGCAACGGTACGCAACAGGGGCTAAGCGTCATAGCATATCGACCATTCGTATTGTGACCAAGTCAGTCAGCGTAAATAACATTTTTGCAACACGTAAAAAGGTGAGAAAAAAAAACGGCTTGCTAGAGTACCTAACTTGCAAATGGCAAGACGCTCTAGCAAGCTGTTTTGACAGCTCCGGCCTCCGTGAAGTACCTACGATAACTTTCAAAGTAGGTACGCTTTCTCTGTATAATATTCCGCACATAACTTGGTGTGTGATGAACGCTCTCGGAATGCCTGTGATCTCGATAAATACTCACCACCCGTCTCTTCCCAGGTGGTCTTCTGGTGTGCGGTGCTGATCGCATTGGCGACGTCCTTTGGCACTGCGCACGCGCGGCCGAACGGTGCATCCGATGACGTCATTGGCCCTCACCACCCTCCGACCAGTAAGTGTCCACATACGATCGCTGATGAGGTTTGACTTTTGAGACAAGGGTGTATCGTAATTTAGACTGGTCGTAAGCTTACCTTTGAATACGGTTCCGCATAGGTACATACATCAATCAGTATAAATTACTGTAAGGCATGTCAAATGAAAATAAGTTCCAATAGCAGCCAAAAAGTTTCCACAGGAAAACGCGACGAACAATTTTCTTAAGTGAATACCTATTCGTCCTATATTCTAAACGTGCCGTATGGATATGGAATGAAATGCGAGCCTTATCAAGCAATGTTATCGTAATGGTCATTGAGATCACAGATTTAACACTTGGCCGACTAGGTATATGCGAGCTGCACAATGCCATTACGCATGTCTATCGTGCTCCCTATACTTTGATCGCGTGCACATTATGATCTCTGAACTAACACTGCCGTTTTCCAACAGATCAGGAGGTGTCTGGATCAGGTCCAGATGCCGATGGCTGGGAGAGCGGAGGGTGGCAGCCAAACCTTGCCGATGGAACCCCAGCGACCTCCACCGGCGGCGGAGACGGCTCCGGAATCCCAGCCGGTGACGGTAGCGCCACCGCGGCCGCAGACCAACCTAACATCGACACAGGCGACGCTGACGCCGTCCAGCAGCTGAGTATAGATGTCGCTGACATCGCGGCAGGCGGCGCCCGCAGCGCGCGACGCGTCAGTAATCCGCTGATCTCGGAGGAGGAGGCCGAACGAGAGGAGCGCCGCAAACGCACGCGCTTCACGCAGACGGTGCACGGCTCGAACGTGGTGTCCCAGGAATCTGCCGACTTCCGGAACGGCACGTTCATGGCCGATCTGTACAGCAAGGAGAACCCGTGGCTGCAGAAGTACGCGCCGTTCTACTACCCGCAGAACCCGCTGCCGACGCAGTTGAACCACCAGCCGGACGGACCGCCGCCGGTGCGACTGCGCCAGGTGCACATCGGCGACACGGTGCTAGTGCCGCCTAAGGTGCAGTACTCGGACCAGGTGTTGCGCACCATCCACGACGCCAAGCTGCGCTCGCTGCCCAAGCTGCAGGAGCACGTGCACATCGGCGGTCAGGATGGCGATGAGGAGGGTGTAGTGGAGGACGGCGGAGCTTACCTCGAGCAGTCTCAATCGGAGGAGGAGTATGGACCCGAGAGCGAAGCGGAGGAACCCCAGCAATACGTTTCCTATGTGGAAGACGAGGGCCAGGACGCAGAGTACGAATGGAGACCCAAGGAGGCACCCGGTATCAACGATCCGAACCCATCTGGAAACGCGGCGCAGCCGGAGTACAACACAGTGACACAGACGGAGAGCCCGCATGACTCGGCCCTGTTCTCCCGGCCCGGACCGCCGTACGACCGCCCAACGCCTCCGCCGGGCTTCCCCATCCAGCAGCAGAACCATGTCCAACAGACACAGGGCCCCAAACCTGGGACCTCGGGCTCTCCCGCGCCGCACAGCGTTCAGTTCAGCCCAGCTCCCCAGGCGTCAGCAGGGCACGGCGGTACGGGCGGGCAGTCTACCCCACACGCCAGTCCCAGGCCTACCGTGACTCAGAATTACCAGCCGGCACAGAGACAGCCTACTCCCGAAGCAGGATCTCCCGGAACAGGATACGTCTCCCAACAGCGTCCTCATCCGAGACCCCAGGAGCGACCCCAGCCGAGGCCTCAGCAGCGTCCCCAACCGAGACCTCAGCAGCGACCCCAACCGAGACCCGTCCAGGCGCGGCCAGCATCCCGGCCTCCCTCCACACCAGTCCGTCGACCCACCGCGTCCTCGGAGGTCCGGCCACTCCGTCCACGACCTACTACTCCCCGGCCCCGACAGGAGACCTCGCACCAACCGCCAGTCGAGATCGTCGAGGACAACGGATACACCAACCGCGTGAAGCCGGATGACGTCATACCGTTCAGCCTGTCTTACGGTTACGAGGTGGTGAAGCCGACGTCGCCACCTTCCCCTCCGCCTCTCAGCCAGTACGGAAAGCCCAAGGCCTCCACCATTCTTGGGGCGTTACCGGCGGGACTCGACGAAGAGAGCTCGGAGGAGTCGGAGGCTGACGTTGACGCTGCGGTGTTCTCCACAAGACCTCTGGAATCCGCGGAGGCACCTGCGACGCCAGCCAGTGACGGTGGGTTTGGTGCCCCGAAACCCGGTCACATCATCGGCGATGGCGTCGCTCCCCCGCAGGTAGGACAGGCGCCGACGCCAGTGCCACCACAGCCTCCCAGGGAGGGGTACTCCAGACCCAGGGAGGAAGGACCCACGTCCCTGTCGTCGTCACCAGCGACTTATCCAGGAACCGACCCATCCGAGAACGCGGAGACCGAGGCCGACAGGCCAGAGTACGCTGCTCCCAAAGACGATGACGTTCTTGATGACGACGTGCGCGTGAACGAGGAGAGGAACCAGTTCTTCCACCCCGTGACATCTGAAGTTGGAGATCAAGGTGTGTCTGACGGCGGAAGCTCACCGGCAGGTGCCCCAGCTGTCGAGGAAGCGCAGCTTGACGGGTACATGAGGCCGAAACAAGACGATATTCTGTCGGAAGACCAGGCCGCCGGGTTCGTGCGGTCCCGTTACTTCCCTCAGCAGCCTGGGGCTCCTCCAGCTGGGCCCAACAGGAGGACGGAAGGCGGATTTAGCTCGCCGCAGGAGAGCAGCATCCTTGAAGACGACACCGATCAGACGTTTGGTTTCCGTACCACTCCGATACAATTCCAGCCAGCCAGTGACAATTCCGCAAGCGGAGAGCAAAACGCCTACAGTCGACCGAAAGACGCGGATATTGTTGGTTTCAACCCCAACTCTCTGGTGGAAGATGACCCAGCGCCAGCAGCTCCCAGTCAGTCTGAAAACCAAAAGCCTGGACCATCTCAATCAGTGCGAGGGTTCTCTCTGCCAAGACCAGGAGATCTGCTCGAGCAAAACGAAAACTTCATCGATACCGGAAACGGGCCTTTCGTTGCAGATGAAACTCCTCAGCCTACCCGGTCCATTTTGGATTACGGGCCACAGGGCTACTCCAAGCCAAAAGACGCTGATGTCCTCAACGCGGGCGAAAGTCCCGGCGATGATCAGACAGCGAAAACCTTCCCCTCCCACTTCGAAGCCAGTCCAGATCCAGCACCTCAGGAGGACGAGGCTGCTGAATACGTAACGCCGACTCAACTCCCCAGCCCGGAGCAGGACGTTCAGCCGACACCGTTCGGCACCTACTCGAGGCCCAAGGCATCGGACGTAGTTGGAGGTGGTGACAGCGGAACGTCCAGCTTGCAGAGTTTCGGTGGAGCGCCGCCGGCTCCAGTCAATCAGTTGTCCGACCCCAAAGAAGAGGCGGAGTACACCGAGCCCAGTGAGGACGTCTCCGGGTTCGGCCCAGTGCACTCAGACTCTCTCCTTCGGCCTTCAGCAGACGAGGACGGCTTCGGCGCACCACGACCGCAGAACGTCCAGCCCGAAACCTCGACCCGTCGCTCCTCCTCCGACTTGTACACGGTCGACGACTTCCTCCGTTCGGAGGAGGTCTCCATCCTGGGCGCCTTCCCGGCGCCAAAGCCCAGTACCGGAGATACTCCCTCGACGACGCAGCGCACACGGGCGGCGCCGAGACCCGGGTGGCGGCGGCGCGCCGATCCCGGCCCGTTCCGAGCGCAGTCTGCCCTCCTGGACGCCCAATTCGCCAATCTGTTCGTGGATGAGCTGGGTCCGCCCCTGCGGCGAACGACGCCCAGGACCAGGCCCACGTCCGCCCGCCGGCGCCCGGCGCAGCCTGAGTTCGGACCTCCGTTCGCTGTGCTCGAGTCACGCGCCGACCACGGCTGGCCGGAAGAGGACGATCTGGCGGACACTCTGTCGGAGGACGAGCTCCAGTCGCCGCCGCTCAAGTTCGGTTCGGCGTTCGCCGCGGAGCCGCTCACTCCGCCGGGTCTCCTGGCCAGGCGGCGGTCGCCCGCGGCGCCGCAGCGCATTCAGACCAGACGGCAGTCGACGGTGGCGACACCTATCAGACGGCGGCCTTCAGTGGCGCCGCGCGGCGGACACCGCGGGCAGCCGACTCCGTTCGGAGACGAGTTTTCGGCGCCGTTTGCAGCGGCGGCTGCCAGCCGACTGTCGGTGACGGCGGTAAGACCCGGGCCAAACCCCATCCCCGACTGGCCGAAAATCGACAAGCAGTGGTAGTCGGGACCGACAGAGTCCGGGAGGCACAGGAAGAGGTGTGGACAGAAGAAAATGTATTCATGGGCTTTTGGTAGTCTGATATTCAGCTTAGAAGAAAGATAACCACTCACCAGCGCTGGAGTAATACAGGAAGAGTTTGACGGAATGCCTGAAGTTATTTGTGCGCATTGTGCGAATCTTGATCATTTTACCTGTTGATCATTATATTATTTATTTGCTTTAGTTGCAACATCAACACCGGTTATTTGAGTACTGTGTTGTCTGTATCAGTTGTATGCAAGTTGGCGAGCGTGAGAAATCAATTCCCTGCATGATGATGCCAACAGAGGCCTTGAGCGAATGGTGCGTGTGGCGTGTTTATACAATGTTATTAATTGTAAGGTACAGGGGAGCCGAAAGCCCTCCGGATGTCATCTAACTCAGCCACTTTTGTGTTGTAGTGTTGGTTTCAAGATAAGGGTTCCAGGAACCAGCTGTCTGGATGTTGAGAATACCCCGAGCTGTCGACTGAGACTGACAGATCTGTCGACTGTCAGATCCACTTAGCTTTCAAACTGGGAGCGAGTGCACCCTGCCCGGTGCCCCCACTCGATTGGGGGCGAGAATTAGGGTATCAATCGTATCCAAACTTCTGGTCGCTGGAACCTGTATCTTGAGACCATTGGAACATTCAACAGAATGACTTCTATATTTGATTGTTGGCTAGATTCGCCTGCCCATGCTCAACTAATGATGCTTGTGTATTCAACCTGTCATAAAATATTTGTAAATATATTAAATAGCTTAGGTAAATTGCTTTTGTGGTGTTGTAAAAAAGGGCACAACCACCACATCAAAAGCATTGGGGGCAGAGGACACGCTTCGGCTGCCTGTCTCACTACGAACAAAAGGGTCTGCGAGTTTAAACCGCATTGCATCAAAAAGGACCGATACAAATGAACGATCGAGAGTCTACCTCTCCACGGACTCCCCAAAAAATAACGAACACACTGCTGAGTGCTGGCACACAGGATTAACGAGCAACTCCACCACACCTATTCCAGCTGATCATCCTCAGGTACCCACCAAACTTCCCATGCCTCATATAGTCATACGTTCCAAATACCTCCGTGTATTTGAGGTCAGTGACACGGCACAGCATCTCACCAACTCAAGAGAGCACCAGAATTACGTCTTTGGACACAGCTTTGTTGGCTCATAGGAAGATTCAGCTCATCACTTCTCTCACTACAACACACCGCATACGCCCGTGCCCGCGGCATCCCCATCGACGCAAATGGGGAAAGTTCGGTCCGTCTGCCCTGGATGTCAAGGACAGTATTGTCACACACTGACTGAACGAATGGAGGACGGAGGGATCAGTCGGATCAGTCGCCACCCCACACATTCAGTCACTCACACGCGACGGGGTAGAGCGCGAATTCTACCCAACTTTGACCGCATGTCGTGTCTGTACAAACCGACCGACGTACCGGCCCCACTCAGCGTCATTTACAGCTCTGCCAGAGTGAGCGCATCCCGTCCGCAAGTTCGGACTCAACACAACCGAGGCACAACAAGCACGCTTCGCACAAACACGAACCACAGCGCGTCGCAAACGCGAGGTGAGGTGTGTAAACTTCACGAATGAACACAGCTTCCCACAGAGCGTCGGCGCCTGACGCGTCAGTCAGCTCACTTGGTACACAACTGAGAGTGATCCTACACAGAAAACCCTGCGGGCTGCAGGGACGGGCTGCCAAGCAGAGCTTCTAATATTGCATGGCCGTCTACTGTAGCAATTTAAGCCGGTAAAACGACACACTTATCTTGAGCAAAGAACACAGTTTTCGAGATGGTTTGACAGGGAGGGGTGAAAAGGAAAATATCACTAACGCATAGAATTGCTGACAAATGCACAAAAACTGAGCATGCATTACAGTCTAAGCGTACTTCAACCAAACACAAACACAAAAACAAACACAAACACAAGCAGGGTATAAAATCATGGACCTCAATCACTCAGCTAAGTAGGCGTACTTTTGTACCGTCAGCACATCAGTCGGGTACTAAATCACCTACACCTCGGCGGCAAAAGTGATCAGTTTTATGGCAGAGAGCAAACGGACGCAAAGATTCGAATGTTCGGATGCACAATATCCTAGCCTAGCAATGCACAATACCGCCTATCTATAGGCGATGGGCGTTAGTAATTACTGCTTGATGGCTTTTGTAGCAAGGTCCGCATTTTTACACCAAACTTTCAGGAGCAGGAATAAATTCGTAAGAAATTGCAGTGAGTGTCCTCGGCGCACAGCAAATGAAGCGACCAACTATTATGACACAAGTGGACTACTATGACGAAAACTAGCACGGCGAGCAAAAACATGTTCATAAATAAAATACTAGTATTAAATAAGATCTGCCTAGCTGTTTCAATTTGCCACCCAACTGAGACAATTTTCCTAAGCCAAGAAGCAATATGTCATTCATGATAAAATAATACTCAAATGTCTTTTCACTACAGCTAGCAAGACATTTATAGGGACGACATAGACTTTGATCGGGTGAAAGAAAGTGACAGCATGTGAAAACCTACACCTTCGCCGACTACTCGAGAGCGATCACATATCGTCACGGCAGTGAGCGGGCTTTGGATCCACGTTTTGTACGGGCATTGCGGCGCAACATTTCTTGTAAAGCTGTGCGTCGGAAAACCGGCACCTAAACACGCTACACTGGTGAGCTAATGATAGTAATCACTATTATCCTACGACTAATCGATGGATGAAACTCTCAAACTTCCCGCCCAGTTACTCCACGAAATTCCACAGCCGCTGTGGGTTATATCTTCTGCCAGGAGAATCCATCTCGCTCACGTCCAGTACAAAACTGTCAATATTGCCGTCACCGCACCCACCTACCCTAGCCCCTCAGCCCCTCACCCTGACTTGATGGATCGCGCACCAGCCGATACTCGCCGGACGTCTGCAGTTCTTCAGCTGAAGTTGCCCTCCCACGCGTCCTGCTTCTGCTTAGCGGCCAGTCGCTTCTTATCTGTGAAACATCGAGAGCAGCCCGTCACAATACGGCAAGGAATTCGAAGGTTTATCCCCGAGAACAGTTTCCACTCTTTCACCACGCTATGTAATAAGGGTTAAAGTGATAAGCAATGCCCCAGACCTCAAAAAGTCAAAAAGTAAATGACCAAATAGTGTTAGATTAAGCGTTGGCACGAAAGTTTATGGTTTTCCACAACACACAATCACAAGCTGATGTAAGTCGCACCATCAGAACGGCACGGTCCACAGCGACATCTGCCCTCACCTCGTGCCGTCTGCAGCCGTCCTGTCCTCACCCCTGGCCATCTGCAGCCGTCCTGTCCTCACCTCGTGCCGTCTGCAGCCGTCCTGACCTCACCTCGTGCCGTCTGCAGCCGTCCTGCCCTCACCTCGTGCCGTCTGCAGCTGTCCTGTCCTCACCTCTGGCCGTCTGCAGCGACATCTGTCCTCACCTCGTGCCGTCTGCAGCTGTCCTGTCCTCACCTCGAGCCGTCTGTAGCTGTCCTGTCCTCATCTCGTGCCGTCTGCAGCTGTCCTGTCCTCACCTCGTGCCGTCTGCAGCTGTCCTGTCCTCACCTCTGGCCGTCTGCAGCCGTCCTGTCCTCACCTCGTGCCGTCTGCAGCGACATCTGCCCTCACCTCGTGCCGTCTGCAGCGACATCTGCCCTCACCTCGTGCCGTCTGCAGCGACATCTGCCCTCACCTCGTGCCGTCTGCAGCTGGCGCCGCTCCTGCTCCCGCTGCTCGCGCGGCGCCGAGTCGCGTCTCCCCAGCGCGCTGAACACCATGCGCCGCGCCTGGAGCGCGCAGGTCTCGGGCCGCGGCCGGTGTGGCAGCAGCTCGGCCGTCTGCTGACACCGCGCAGCCTTCTGGCGGGCCTTGGGCGAGGCCTGCGACAGCGGCCGACACCGCACCAGCGGGTGGTCCCGCAGCAGCGTCTCCGCCACCGCCGCTGGCGGTGCAGAGGGAGGGAGGGCTGGTCAGGTCACTAAGGACTTGCCCTTACCCAACCCAAATCTCCCCGTCACAAACAGAAATGGCTATGGGCATTGGCAACATAGAAGTGATGACCGCGGTGACTATGGTCATTACTTTCAACTGTGCAGCATAAGGCAGCAACCTCATTAGATTTTCACCTTCTGTTCTCACCTTTATCACTCATCACAAATTCAGATCTATCCCAAACCCTAGCAATGACTGTTACTCTACTCAGTCCCTTTAAGGTCCTCACCCACACCCAGCCCGACCCGAGCTAGGCCTTTTGCCAGTGCCGCCCCAGACTCCTACCGGCGGAGGCGCTGGCGAATACGGCCAGTGCGTGTGTGTCGTCCACCCAGCGGACGTCGAAGCCGCGCGCGCCGAACTCCTGAAACACCACTGTCAGGTCCTGGGTGGTGAACGCAGCCGGGAAGTCGTACACCTCCAGCACGTGCGACGGCAGCTCCGCCGGCTCGGCGGCGCCGTCCGGCTCCTCGGCCGGCGGGGGCGACGGCGGCCGCCAGGCCAGGTAGTCGATGACGGGCCGCGGCGCGGCCGGTGGCGCCACCTGAGGGATATCCGAGAACGCGGTTAGACTCAGATTTGAAAGGTGTTCAAGGAAACTGGGATGAAACTGTTTGGGACCTTTGCCAAAAAGTGTAAGTAATATCAGTGAAAACAAAACAATGGACAACAAACCAGTCACAACAAAAACACACGAACATCACCAGTACAAGGGAACAAGACGGACGCAGAAACAAAACCAGTCTTGTGGACCGTCTCCTGGAACTCATTATGTTTTGAAACACGCCGGTCTGTGGTTGTCGGAAGAGTCTACCCAGTCGGTGAGACCTTTGAAGCGCAGCCAACACACCCCTGGTGACGGACAGGGCATCTGGAGAGGTTCCCGACCGGCCGGCTGGCGCCTCCCTGACACTCAGGCCGCTCAGTAGTCGTGGCCGGGATGGCCCATAACAGGAAATGTCCGGCTTCAGTACCGGTACTACGTGTTATTGATGGGGAAATATGAGAGTGGGGAGGGGTGTCCAAACAGCCTGAGCACAGCTGAGCAGGTGACAACGGATGACAGTCCGGTATAATGGTAACAGCCCAGGAAGTGGACGGTAACAGTTCGGGCAGCGGACGGAAACATTCGACCAGCGGACGGCTATAACTCCGTCTTAGTGCAAATTTAGCATGACTGACTGACAACGAATGTATTGTGAATGATTTGGAACGGATGCACGGTGCACCAACGACTGTCCAGCTACGATGGAACCATCATCTATGCTGTTCACCCACAGATGCCAGCACCGACGGATACACAGCCGGTCCGGTCCAGACACACCCTAGACACTAAAACCATCCCAGTGACACCTACCTTGCCGGTGGGGCTCGCCGTCGTCGGTGTAGTTTCTCTCCCCTCCTCCATTTCCTCAGCCCAGTCGAACGTTCGTAACCACCCCAGACGACG